TACACACACTCAACACACCCCTTACAGACACACACACTGCATCCCTTACATACACAGAAACACACTTTGCATCCCTTATGCATACAAACACAGATTCACACAATGCATCCCTTACACACAACAAGAAACACACAATACATCCGTTATACACAAACACTCACTACTTTCTGTCCCTTACACAAAAACACACTGCTTTCACTACACACAAACACACTGCATCACCTACACAAACTGGTATCCCTATACACTACATTCCATAAGCACACACATTAGATCCTCTACAGTAACACATAACACATCCCCTACACACTCTACTCCCTGTGAGCGAACTCATGGGTGGAACATGTAGGTGGACTTATGGGTGGGCTTTATTGGCTTACTCATTGTCAGGCTCTTGGGCCCAGACCTTGAGCTATGTAACAGGCCCCCAAAAATGGAGCTGCTTCCCGTTCTCCCAGAACATTGAATTTTGTGACCACAGTTACAAACAGCCTCCAGAGATCCTGTTCTACACCAGACCAGTGGAGCCAGACTGCAGCCAGAGCCCATCACCATCCTCATCTGATTGTAAGTAGGCAATCTAGTATATTATTAGTGACGCTAATCTCTAATTTACCTCATATTAAATGGACACTATAGTCCCCAGAACCACTGCAGCTTAATAAAGTTGTTTTGGTGTCTATAGTTTGTCCCTGCAGGCTTTTTAATGTAAACACACACTGTGTGCAGCACTGGCATTAGTTCATATGGCAGATCATATGGGTGGGGCATTGCGATGTCCCTGGTGGGGGGCGGCGGCAAATCTTTCTTTTGCCTAGGGCGGCAAAAATCCTTGCACCGGCATGTGCCTCTGATACATGAAATGGTGGCCACCCAGTAACTCCACAGTATGTCCCCAGATGGTTCTTAAAGGGGCAGCAGCAGCCTAACACAAATCTGGAGGAAACAAGATGCAGAACCTGATGATGACAGAATGTGGAGGAAAGGTAAAAGACTGTGTTTGCCACAAGTATTGTACCCCATGATGGCCCAGATTGCCCATGGACCTATACATCTATCCAAGATGCACATGAACAGCATAAGTAAATACCTATTGGGTAGCACCCGGATTTACTGTTGTAGCAGCTAAACACACCCAAGCTTGCATTATTTGTGCTAGAAACAATCCAGGACAGGCTGTCAAAACACCAAGTAAGCACACCAAGGCCACTTTACCCACTTCAAAGACTGCAGATAGACTATATTCAACTGCCTAAGGTAGGAGTGTATGAATATGTGTTGGTGTGCATTGATCTCTTTTCAGGTTGGTCTGAGGCCTACCCAGTGTTGAAAGCCACAACGAAGGTCACAGCAAGTAAGCTTCTGAAGGAACTGGTATGTAGATATGGAGTACCTGAAGTGATTGAAAGTGACAGAGGTAGCCATTTCACTGGGGAAATAATGCAAGAAATTATGAAAGTCTTAGGGATCAGTCAGTCCTTCCACACCTCCTATCACCCCCAGAGTAGTGGGAAAGTAGAAAGGGCAAATGGAACCTTAAAGAACAAGATTGCAAAGGCCATGCAAGACACAGTGAAGCCCTGGACTGAATGCCTTCCCCTAGCACTCTTTTCTATGAGATTCACCCCCAATTCCAGACATGGCCTATCCCCTTTTGAGATACTGTTTGGATGTGCCCCAAAGACAGGCCTCTATTTTCCCCAGACCCTCCAGATGCAGCATGGTAGTATGACTGGCTATGTACAGGCCCTACACCAAAGATTAGGCAGCGTGCATAAACAAGTCTTTGATTCTATTCCAGATCCAGACTCTGATTCTGCAACTCACAAACTGCAGCCTGGTGATTGGGTGGTGATAAAGAGGCATGTGAGGAAAGGACTTGAACCACGCTTTGACGGTCCATTCCAAGTGCTCTTGACTACAGCTACCTCAGTGAAACTAAAAGGAAAAGCAACGTGGATACACACCAGTCACTGTAAACAAGTCACTCCGACTGATCCACCGACATGAAGCTGTTCTTATCCTTTACCACTGTATACTCTGTTCAGATATGCTACTCTGATTTCAGACCAGAAGATAATAATGCATAGCAGGGAAATATATAATTGCAGATAGCAAAGGCTTTTAATTTTGCCTCAACCCTCTCTTCAGTACTGAAAACGCCATAGAATCTTGTCTTATAGCTGTCCCTACCCCCATCTCACTCTTGAGGAAGTACCTACATACCCATAGACCCCATAAATATCTACCCGAGTAATTAATGCTGTAGCCTGTTCCCTTGTAAAGGGTTTAAATGCCACTTCACAGGCCCTAGAAGAGATACTTATGGACAACCAGGCAAATAAGAAGGCAATCCTTGAGAATAGAGCAGACATTGACTTTACTAATTAAGAATTTTTTTTACTTTTTGCTATTAGTTATATTTGTTATTATGTCCATTTTTCTAACCTTTAGATCTTTCTCATGTCTACTAACCTCTCTATGTAAAAACAAACCTACTGTTGGTTGTACCTTAACTTACATTCCAGCTCTGTCTTTGGAAGGGTTTTATGATGTTACCTCGCCTAACAAATGAAGGAACTCTCCTCCGCTGATTCTGGTGGTCTCTCAGTCCAAGTGAACCGTAGTGAAGCAATAAATAAAAGTCCCACAGGCTTTGGCTAGCAGGCCTGGAAATACCTTGGACATTTGGGTGACCCTTGGATCAAAAGAGGGGATTGTGATAGAATTTATCTTGATTCCACGGCTCAAGCTTATAGGTGTCATATAATGATATCCTATATTAAAATTGGCTAACTTGGACTCAGGAAATGCTTGATGCTTAAACAACACTTAAGACCATATATGTCTAGTTCCGGGAGCAGAGAGCCCAACCTAAGATGTCTCTTCTCTAATCTTTTTGCTCTTTCTTACCTTGGAACTTATTTGTTATGTGTACATGACGTTCATCCCTATGTCTTATCTGTACTCTCTTCCTATTACTGTTCTAAGAGTATTTGCACGTAAGCACTTACTTTTTAATGTATAAAACCCAGCTGATGAATAAAACGTCAGAGACTTATTTTGAATACCAACAGGTGTCTGGTGCCTAATTCTCGCTTCTCTTGTAATAACAATTTGGGCTTCCTCTGAATATAAGAAAGATCATTATTTGGATCCACAACAGGTATAAAAAACAGGACAGGAAATAGCAATAGAGGTAGAAGTTACTCTGGGATTCCATAAGCTTTCCTAAAGAGATGGGTTTTAAGGCACTTATTAAATCATTGAAGACTAGGGGAGAGTCTGATGGCAGTAGGCAGGCTATTCCATAGGAAGGGAGCCACCCGCGAGAAGTCCTGCACACGTGAGTTGGCCGTACGCGTGTGAGCAGCGGACAGGAGAAGGTAAGGGGCAGAGCGGAGAGACCGAGAAGGGGCATACCTATGGATCTGTGAAGAGATATAAGAGGGCTAGAATTGTTCAGTGATTTATAGGTATGGGTTAGCACTTTAAATTGACTCCTATAGGATACAAAGAGCCAATGTAAGGACTGACAGAGGGTTGAGGTGTGAGAGGACCGATTAGAGTGGAAAATCCGTCTGGCGGCAGCATTCATTACAGACTGTAGCAGGGCAATACAGCTTTTGGGAAGACCAATTAGGAGAGGGTTACAATAATCCATGCAGGAAATTACTAGAGCATGGACAAGCTACTTGGTAGCATCTTGCATAAGAAAGGGGGCGGATACGGGCTATATTTTTAAGATGGAATCTACAGGATTTGGCAACATACCGGATGTGATGCTCAAAGGTGAGGCCAGAATCAAGTATGATGCCAAGACTGCGCTCTTGCAAGGATGGAGTTATGTGGATATCACTAACTTGAAGGGAGAGTGGAAGAGGAGGACCAGTATTAGGACGAGGAAAGACAAGGAGCTCAGTTTTAGAGAGATTGAGTTTCAGAAAGTGGAGGACATCCAGTCAGAGATGGAAGAGAGGCAAGCAGTGACACGTTGCAGGACAGCAGGGGAGAGTTTCGGGGAGGAGAGATATTTATATCCTATAGAGGGGATGACGGGTCAAGAGATGTTTTTTTCAGGAAAGGTACTACAAAGGCATTTTTAAGGTCAGCAAGGACAATGTCAGAAGAGAGAGAGCAGTTGAAGATGTGTGTTAACGAACACAAAAGACAGGGGGAGAGAGATCTAATAAGGTGATGTGATGAGAGCAATCTTGCCACATTGCATTGGAGAAGTCTGGTTGCCCGCCTGTTGCCTTTGGATTATGGCCCCATGTTAAAAGACCGCTTTTACCCTGCAGAAAAGACTTATTCATGCTTTTCTGTCCGGTGTTTGATTGATTCAATCTACCGAACATCCGCACGAATGACTGGACCGCCTGGGAGCTGGAGTGGGTTAACCGCAGCTTAACTGACAATTACTGGGTGGTCGTGGTTTCACCTAGCCGCCACATGATGGCGGTGTTATTGAAGCTCCCCGGGTAGCCAGCGCTTGTTCCACCCAGTGGCAGGACACCAAAAGCGGACACTTTTGTCTTCCAAGTCCCGCTGGGGCTGGAAGTCTGCAAACCCATTCGGGAACCGAACAATGGAGCATTTGGGACTTTTAGTGTTGCAGTGTATTCGGTGTGAAAGTACCCAGATAGCCTGCCATGGAGCCTGTTCGTGGAATTAAAGACTTTGGCTCCATGGCGATTAAACTGTATTCGTGTGGTCTGAGCCCCATTCGCTTAATAATGTGCGCTCAGACCTGAGCTATCTGGGGATATGTTAAATGTGTATATTTAGTGTAACTTTTGTCACGTAGGGTATTTTAACAGTAATTCCTATTTTAGTATCCCCACGTGCATAATGGCGATTTGCCTTTGTCCTGGGAGATAATTGAATTACTTCTCAATTATCTCCAGGGCAGAGGGGAGAAAGCCAGGATGCATTGTGGGAATATAATGTGACTGTGTGTCCTGGATTGCTGCTTGTCTGTCCTGTGTTACAGTCTCCCATTTGGTCCCCTAGGGGAGTGTCCACCAGGTGGGAGACCTGCATAAATACTGGGCAGGTAGCCCTCATTAAACAGACCATTGCTTGACCCTCAACACGGAGCCTTGTCTCGTCTTTGGGGGGGGATTTACTGAATGCTGATAGAGAATGATTGCTAGGAGTGTAAGCCGCTTGGGTGCTTTTCCTATTCGTCTGCTAGCAGCTATTCGTATGGTTCCAGTTCGTGAGTTTGGAGTGCTATATTGTATGCCGTTCGGGAGTTTGGAGCATTCCCTTACATGTGGTTCGGGAGTTTGGTGTTCTACAGTAGCTGTGCCTGCATCTCTGGAAGGGGACGATCGCCTAAACGGTTTTAACCCCTTGTGTGCTGGAACCGTCCGTTACAGGTGACATAGGAGAAGTTCGAGCGGGAAAGTGGTGGGGCAAGAGGAAAGGAGAAGCGCAGCCACCTCTTGTTCAGTAGCCGGGGAGAAAGTCTGAAGGGTAGGAAAGGCATGATCAACATGTGGTTGAGAAAGAGAATGGCAAGATGGGGGGAATTCTTTCCTTAGCTGTTCAATCTTGTCGGTAAAGTAGCATGTAAAGCTATCGGCGGTAAGGTTAGTTTGGGGGTGGCCAGAGCAGGGCGAAGAAGAGAGTTAAAGGTGTCAAAAAGATGTATTGCGGGAGCATGAACTAATGAAAGAGGAAAAGTATGTCCCAATAAGGGTACCTGTTTTATTGTCTATTATACTTTTTTTTTTAAGTATTATGTTCTTTTAATTATTCTATTCGGCATTTTTATCTGTTTCTATTGTAATATATCTTATCGGACTCATCCTTGGCGCACCCTTTCTTCCTTTTTTCTTTTTCAATTGCAATAGGGTTTTTGCAGAAAATTTCCCTTATTCAGGGGTGCTGCCTCCATATATAGTTTTCTAGCGCTGCTCCATCTCCTTTTTTTTATTATTCCATAATACACTGAGTTTTGTTTTCAGCAAGAAAATATGATGAAAGATGTCCTTTAAATGAAAAGTGCACATTTTTTAAGTTTTTGGAGACTGACTACATTTTATGTGTATTTTTGCATAGCTACAAGTCATTTTATAGTGATGTGTAAAGGGTGGACATCCTGTGATGGCTAGACAGGGTGATTGCGGGCAGCAGTTTATAGAATGGACATTATAGAACTGAAAACAGTGCATAATTAGACTACTTCAAATTATAGTGGAAACAATCACTAGGGAGGAGACAGTAGATGGATACATGTGTCAGTTGGCACCAGTTCAAGATCTCGAGAGGAAGTGGAAAGGTTCAGATATTTATCAGGAGAAAAATCTGTCATCACAGACAGTAAACACCAGGAGGAGTTAGACCAACCAACCCCCAGAAGGTGCTAATATAGAGACAGTTTCACATTCTGTGGACGTAAGAGAAATTTATATTCTTTTTGTAAAGAGATATTGAGATGAAGAGGCTGCTCCGTGTGACCTTCCTCCTGAAGGTTTTTTCATGTAAGATGGTGACTTGGGGATTATTGTCTACTATATAGTCTCTCTAAACCCAAGGAAGAGGTAGGCAACATAACCCTGTGTGTTCCAGGTGGTGTGCAGAATATTTCTCCAACCTATGGATATAAAAGAGTTCACATTATGTTCGTAAATAGATATTCACAGAGGAGGGAACAAAGAGACATTTTAACTTAAAGTCATGTTAACATGTCTATCAATTAATACCGGGTATTTTATGGTTATCTGGTTTGCAAGCTAGATAGAGAGTTGAGACAGAGAAATGAGATGGGTTTCAGTGTGAACAACACTTACTTTAAAGTAATCATTTTTCTTCTGTCTCCACTGTCCCCAGGTCTGTCCCACGCTGTTACCGTGACTCAGGACAAAGCCTTTATATTGCTGAGTGTTGGAAGCAGTATGGATGAAATGTCCTGTACGCATGATGCAACCAGTAGCTATCGCATGTACTGGTACCTGCAGAAACCAGGAGAAGGCTTGGTGCTTATTGCAATGTCAGTAGCAGAGAATGATGCCAGCTTAGAAAAAGATTTTAAGGAAATGTGGACAATGACTCGGCCAAATAATCAGAAATCTATGTTAAAACGGAATGGGGCAGTGAACATCACGGACTCTGCTGTGTATTATTGTGCAGCGAGTGACACAGCCATAGCAAACTGAGACACAGCTGTCACAAAACATGAAGATTAGGAGTTTGTGAAGCTGGTGCAGAATGTGAAAATAGCAGATTCCCCAGCAGGGGGCACTGCTCTCTCATTCTTCAAAATACTCTGTGTGCATTTTGGCTTCTTTGATACTGAGAATAAAGGAACATCCAGCTGCTATTTTAAACTTAAAGGACCACTCTAGGCACCCAGACCACTTCAGCTTAATGAAGTGGTTTGGGTGCCAGGTCCTTCTAGGATTAACCCCTTTTTTATAAACATAGCAGTTTCAGAGAAACTGCTATGTTTATAATAGGGTTAATCCAGCCTCCAAATCCTCTAGTGGCTGTCTCATTGACAGCCGCTAGAGGCGCTTGCGTGCTTCTCACTGTGAAAATCACAGTGAGAACACGCAAGCGTCAATAGGAAAGCATTGTAAATGCTTTCCTATGAGACCGGCTGAATGCGCGTGCAGCTCTTGCCGCACATGCACATTCAGCCCAGGAGGAGGATCGGAGGCGGAGAGGAAGAGATGAGCTCCCCCGTCCGGCGCTGGAAAAAAGGTAAGTTTAACCCCTTTCCTCGCCATCCAGCCCGGCGGGAGGGGGTCCCCGAGGGTGGGGGCACCCTCAGGGCACTATAGTGCCAGGAAAACGAGTATGTTTTCCTGGCACTATAGAGGTCCTTTAACATTTAAGTAAAATGGGATCCATGTGAGAATAACATATATATATATTAAAATTTTCACTAACAATTGGTGAGTGAACATTGATCTCTGGTGACTAAAAAATTACCCCTATTGTATGTGCTATGGCTTGCAGTTCAAGTAACGTTTAAGGCCAAGCTAATAGTATAGCACTACAAAATCTAAGCCATGTTAATATATATATATATATATATATATAGGGCTTAAAATTCTAAATACTGTGATACTAGCCAGAACGTTACCTGCCACTACAAGTCATAGCATATACACCAGTGGTAAGTTTTTACCTACCAGAGAGAAATGTTCACTCACCAATTACTACATATTTATTTATTGCATGCCTTACTTATTAATGGGGATGTCTACTATTTTGGAAAAGTGAACTCTGGTAATAATTATTCTTGATCTTTAAAGACAACACACAATGAGGTGTCCCTCTATTACAGGGGTAATCCATTGTACGCGTACCCCCAGGGCTACAATCATGTTTCCCTGGGGGGTACCCAAAAAATATTCGGTAATGGCAGTACTACTTGTTACGGTGTAATACCCCAAAATGCAGAGTTTAGTATAGCAGGGTAAAGACTAGGATATAACGTATTACCGGGCCTTAGAATGGCCGGACTAAATGTCAGACAGAGATAAAGCGTAATCAGAGACGAGCTGAGGTCAAGGTAACGGAGAGACAGCGTAAACTATAACTAGCCAGAGTCAGGTACACGGTAATCAGTCAGACGGGCAAACAAGACAGGAAAGGGTTAAAGATAAACTCAGGAACAAAGCCAAGGTCAATACCAGAATAAACACAATAGATCAAGGAATGCACTAAAGGGTACTGAAACAGAAACCACGATAGGGCAAAGTGGATAGGGCTAGTGAAGTTTAAATATCCTTTAATTAACATTTGATTGGCCCACGTCATGCCTACGCCTACAAAACGGGCGTGAGTGGGGGTGCTGGAATGATGTGGGCCAATAAGAGACTGAATCCACTTGTGGCCCCTTTAAGAGCGCGCTCGTGTAGTGAGCCGCACTCCTAGTGCCAGGTGGGCCGCCTGAATGCTCATTGCGCTCAGTGCACATGGTCCACTCAGCAGAGGAGATCGAGCAGTGCGCGGCTTGTGTGGAGACAGTAGTGCTCAAGCCACGTGCGGCTCAAGCTGAGAACCCCGGATAAGTTAAATACCACCGCACTACTGCCTGTGCCCATGCAACTGCACCGCACAGGTTGGGAACTGCAGGTTGAATGGGTCCATCGGGTGGTCCATGCTCATAGGGTCACCCAATGGACATGTGTCATGAGGGGCACAGTAATGCACCGAGGCACTTTAACAGTGTGACTAGGCCTCTTCTTATCTGCAGGGAGTGCTGGGAAGCAGTAGAGCCAGTCACTTCCTCCCAGTTGACACAATCTAAGCTGCATGGAAAGGGGGGGCCTGTGAGGGGGCAGACCAGGAGAGGAGCAAGAACCTAACTCCCAACAGCCCCAGCCAGCAGAAGGAGGGTGGCTGTACATATCTGTATATATGGGAAAGTGTGCAGGTGCCTTCATTTAGATGTTTATATGTAAATGGAGATGGTGAGGGTATGCTTGTACACAGTGGCATACATACCGGTATCGCAGGGGTCGTGGCTGCGACCGGCCCCAGGCCTCCAGGGGGCCCGGCCGCCCTACGACCCGGCATGCACGCCAGTGTGGCCACATTATCCAAGCCTCTTCTCATGGGGGGCCAGGAGCTGGCCACCTCATGGCCCCCCGAGGCTGGCAGTGGCTTCAGTTTGCCGGCAGCCAGGCGGGCGCGCGAGGGAGCACTCTCCCCTGAGTGCTCTCTGCCCAGCTCCCTTGCGCGCACCACACTGATGCCGGAGCCAGAATATGACGTCGTATTCGAGCATCGGCATCAGTAAGCGGCGCGCGAGGGAACTGGGCAGAGAGCACTCAGGGGAGAGTGCTCCCTCGCGCGCCCGCCAGGCCGCCCAGCGGCCCAGCAGCCCCACTGGGAAAGCAGGAATCCCCAGAGCACTCTCAAAGGTAGGGAGGCTGGGGGATTAAATAAAAAAAAATATGTGAGTGTGTATGTATGTTAGTGTGTGTGTTTCAGTGAGTTTGTTACTGTGTGTGTGTCTGTTAATGAGTGTGTTAGTTTGTGTGTGTCAGTGAGTGTGTTACTGTGTGTGTTAGTTTGTGTGTGTCTGCTAGTGAGTGTCAGTAAGTGTGTTAGTGAGTGTTACTGTTTGTGTCACTGAGTGTGTTTGTGTGTCTGTAATTGAGTGTGTGTCTGCTAGTGAGTGTCAGTGTGTGTGTCAGTGAGTGTGTGTGTTACTGTGTGTGTCTGTTAGTGAGTGTGTGTTTGTCAGTGAGAGTGTATGTTTTGTGAGTGTGTATGTGTGTCTATCACTGAGTGTGTTTCTGTCAGTAAATGTGTGTGTCTGTTAGTTAGTGTGTATGCGTCTGTTCGTCATAGTGTGTGTGTGTAGTTAAAACCCCTTCACCACTTACCTTACCCAATCTGCCTCTCAGCTCCGAATGTGCATGCGCGCATTCAAACTGCCCATAGCAAAGCATTACTTTATGCTTTCCTATGGACGTCCAGCGGAATCGCGGAAGCGCCTCTAGCGGCTGTAAGTGAGGCAGCCACTAGAGGCTGGATTAACCCTCAGTGAAACATAGCAGTTCTATGTTTTCAGCTGCAGGGTTAAAACTAGAGGGACCTGGCATCCAGACCACTTCACTGAGCTGAAGTGATCTGAGTGCCTATAGTGGTCCTTTAAGTGTATCTGCATGCACTGGTGGCACACCGCGGTTCTGCTATAGATGGATACATGTGTCAGTCTGTGCAGGAGGAGATCTGGAGAGGAAGTGAAAGTTACTGGGAAAGTGACAGAGAGATACTATCAGAAGAAAACCTGTCATCACAGACAGCAAACACCAGGAGGAAGTTAAACCAACCCCCCCCCCCCCAACCACCTTGAAGGTAATAATAAAGAGGCAGTTTGGCTGATTATGTTCTAATGTTGTCTTTGGGAATTTAGACAGAATATAAAAGTCATTTATTTTCTTTTTACACAGAGACATTGAGATGAAGAGACTGCTTTGTGTGATCTTTCTCGTGACCATTTTCTCATGTAAGATTGAGGCACACTGGATATCATCTATGGTCTCTCTAAATCCAGGGCACAACTGGGCAAATATTTTGTATTTGAGATGACATATGTCTATGTGACTTGTAGTTGCAACAAAGTAACCGTTTTCTTCCGGTCTCTACTGTCCCCAGGTCTGTCCCACGCTGTAACCATAACTCAGAACAAAGCCTTTATATTGCTGCATGATGGAAGCAGTATGGAAGAAATGTCCTGTACGCATGATGCAACCGAGAGCTACTATATGTACTGGTACCACCAGAAACCAGGAGAAGGCTTGGTGCTTATTGCAATGTCAGCATTAGAGAATGATGCCAGCTCAGAAAAAGATTTTAAGGAAAAGTGGACGATGACTCGGCCAAGTAATACGAAATCTACACTAGAACGGAATGGGACAGTGAACATCCATGACTCTGCTATGTATTACTGTGCAGCCAGCTACACAGCCACAGGAAGGTGAGACACAGCTGGCACAAAACATGAAGCTTAGGAGTTTGTGCTAAAGAAGAAACTGAAAAGAGAAATTTCACCAGCAGGGGGCACTGCTCTCTCATTCAGGTTCTTCGATATCAAGAAAGTGGGAACATTCTGCTGTTTTTTTAATCTAATTTTTTTTACATATAACAGAGTCAATGTGAGAATTACAGAGATTATTAAACAGATTTATATGTCTTAAATCACAGCATATTAAAAGTAACACAGCATTTACATACAAATTGTGAATTAAAAGTAAATTCACTAATTTTAGAAAATATTCCAGACTTCACACAAATACAGTTGTATTCAAAAGTATTCATCTCCCTTTGAAATCAGGTTTATTGTCAAAATTTACAGACTTGCATGTGTTTGCAATGGACAAATCAAACAAAAGCAATTAAAATAGGTCAACACAACAAATGCTTCAAGTGGTTTCCCAAATTCAGCTGAAAATGCAACTCCAGTCTCAAATTTATGCAATTCCCTGAATAGAATCCCTCACAACAGCACAAATATACAAAACATGTGTTGTCTCAAGCACACCTGATACAACTAATCAAGAGCTATATTGGTTGTACCAGTTGTGCATGAGCTGGAACAGGTGAAATAATTGAACTGACTAGGGGTTTGTTGAGTGTTACGCTTGACTGCATGTTAGAAATATGGTTAAGTCAAAAGAATGGTCCACAAAATTAAGAGAAGAAATCATCACCATTCACAAACAAGGAACAGGATACAAAAAGATAGCAAAGGCTCTTAATGTTTCTAGAGACACCATAGGAAGCATAGTTCGCAAGTTCAAAGTTGAAGGAACAGTGGTTAAACTACCTGGACGGGGCAGAAAAGAGAAGCTATCAATGGCTGCAACCAGATTTCTGAGAAGGCAGGTTGTGAAAAATCCTCGAATGACTGCAAAAGACCTGTAGCAAGACTTGGTGGGAACAGGGACTGAAGTTTCACTGAGCACAGTAAAGCGCTTACTAAAAGCAGGTTTCCAGGCCAGAACTCCAAGATCTATACCACTACTGACTCAAAAGAACAAGATAATTCTGCTCCAGTATGCCCAAAATTAAATAAATAAGCCACAGAAGCTTGGGGATTCTGTTCTGTGGAGCAATGAAACAAAACTGGATCCTTCTGGGTCTAATGGATAAGTAGTATGTCTGGAGGAAGAAGAATGAAGCATATGTTGAAAAAAAACATTCTAACTACAGTTAAGCATGGTGGTGGCTCGGTGATGCTCTGGGGCTGCTGTGGAAGGCAAGATGGATTAATTGAAGTATCATAAAATCCTCATCCTTGTCATGCTGTCTGTGAGGAAGCTGAAACTTGGGCGTCATTAGACCTTCCAACATGACAATGATCCCAAGAATACTTCATATTCCACCAAGGCTTGGTTACAAAAGAATTCCTGGAAATTTCTACAGTGCCCATCACAGTCACTTGACTTTAACCCTATAGAAAATCTCTGGTGGGATTTGAAGAAGGCGGTTGCAGAACGTAAAGCCAAGAATATTACTAAACTAGAGGCCATTGCTTATGAGCAATGGGCTACAATTCTTCAGGAATGCTGCCAGAAGCTGGTGTCTGGCTATGCATCTCGTTTGCAGCAGGCCATAACAGCAAAAGGGTGCTCTACTGAGTACTAGAGATGATTGCCATGAAAGAGCTGAATAATTGTGAGACTGGAGAAATCATTATAAGTTTCCGTTAAATTTGTGGAAACCATTTGAAGCATTCAGTGTGTTGAGCTATTTTAATTGCTTTTGTTGGATTTGTTCATTGCAAACAGCTGAAGGTCTGTAAATTTTTACAATAAACCTATTTTTCAATGGGGGTTGAAGAATTTTGATTACAAATGTACATGCCAACATTCACACACACTGACACTGTTCAAATAAACTCCTACACTCACACTAAACTATGCGTACTTGACATACCAGGAACACAACACTGACCTATATACACTACAGTGTGCACAAACCATGACTCTGCACATAAAAACACACCTAAATTCATAGATACCTGTACTAGTTAAATGTAGAAACCTGAATTCATAAGTAGAATGCAGAGTTTACACACAGTGAGCTTTACTCACAAAATAGTGACAACTAAATTGCGGAACTTAGCACCAAATAACTAAACACAGACCACAATTAGAAGATAGAATTGTTGTTTTAATAAAATTTTGAAAAACAAAAATCTATACATTTTCAATAATATAATAATGTTCTATATAAATAATCTTCTTCCTAAAATGAATCTTAAAACCAGGCATATGTGAGAAGGAGGTTGTGCCTATCTGTATATAATGGATAATGTGGGCATACCAGTAGGATTACACATGACAGAGAGCATGGGTATGCAGGTAGGTAGGGGCAGTTATTATTTATCGAGCACCAACATATTTCACAGAGCATACAATGGGAAGTTAGCACCGCGCGGAATAAATGGTAGATCTTGTTAAGATGACTTCCAACGAGGTCAACCCATGTCACTAAAGTCTGACCACTCCTGCTGTAGATGGATACATGTGTCAGTCTGCTCAGGAGGAGATCTATCAGAAGAAAATCTGTCATTACAGACAGCAAACTAACCAAGAGGAAGTTAAACCAACCCCCTCCCCCACCACCTTGAAGGTATTAATAAAGAGACAGTTTGACTGATTATGTTCTAGATGTAACTGGGAATTTGGGGGACAGAATATAAGAGACATTGATCGTCTTTTTACAGAGAGACATTGAGATGAAGAGACTGCTTCGTGTCATATTCCTCCTGAACATTTTCTCATGTAAGTTAGAGACATACGGAATATTGTCTATGGTCTGACTGAATCCATGGAACATCTGGGAGAATTAACTGTTTAAGATCTAGGGTCCATGCAATTGATTTCTACAAACTTCTAATTTGTCCAACTTAAAATGGAGTTTCATGGCACATTGTTTATGATCCCTCTAAATCCAGAGCAAAGCTCTGGAAACTAACCATTTATAGTCAAGAATTTGTGCAGTGCATTTCTCCAACCTATGAACTTCATAGTGTTCAGAAATCGATATAAGATCAAGTTTAAACTTTAAATGTCTTTACAATCACAGGGGTAAATATTTTTGTATTTGAGATGACTTATGTCTATATGACTTGTAGTTGCAAGAAAGTAACCATTTTCCTTCTGTCTCCACTGGCCCCAGGTCTGTCCCACGCTGTGACTGTGACTCAGAACAAAGCCTTTATATTGCTGACTGTTGGAAGCAGTATGGAAGAAATGTCCTGTACGCATGATGGCACTGGCAGCTACAATATGTACTGGTACCGGCAGAAATCCGGAGAAGGTTTGGTGCTTATTGCAATGTCAGTAGCAAATAATGATGCCAACTCAGAAAACGATTTTAAGGAAACATGGACAATGACTCGGCCAAGTAATGAGAAATCTACGCTAAAAAGGAATGGGGCAGTGAACATCACAGACTCTGCCATGTATTACTGTGCTGCCAGTTTACACAGTCATATGAAGTTGAGACACAGCTGGCACAAAACATAATTCTTAGGAGTTAGTGGTGGAGAAGAAAGTGAAAAGAGCAATTTCACCAGCAGGGGGCACTGCTCTTTCATTCTCTTTTAGCTACTTTGATACTAAGAAAGTGGGAATATTCTGCTGGTATTTTAAACAACATTTTTGACTTATAACAAAGTCGAAGCGATAATCACAGAGAAAATATTAAACAGATTTATATGTCTTAAATCACAGCATCTTAAAAGAAAAACACCATCTACACAGTGGTGTATTCTGGTTTTGTGCTGCCCTAGGCAGGACAAAACTCAGGTGCTCCCCTCCCCACCTCCCCCACCACTCCCACCCATCCCTTCCCCCCGCCCCGCCTTCTAAATACACACATTCACTGACAGATACGCATACACTAGCTAACAGAAACACACACACACACTAACAGACACACTCACACTCACTAACAAACACACACTCACTAACAGACACACACTCACTCACTAGCAGATACACACACTCACACTAACAGACACACACACACACAGTCAGACACACACACATACACACACACACACTAACAGACACACTCACACTCACTAACAGACACACACACACACACACACACACTAACAGACACACACACTAACAGACACACACACACACACACACTAACAGACACACACTCTAACAGACACTCACACTCACTAACAGACTCACACACACACACACACACACACACACTAACAGACACACTCAAACTCACTAACAGAAACACTCACTAACAGACACACACACACACTAACAGACACACACACACACTAACAGACACTAACAAACAGACACACACTAACAGACACACACTCACATTAACAGGTTTTTGTATTTTTTATTTAACCACCCCCAGCCTCCTTACCTTTGGGAATGCTGGGGGGGGGGGTTCCCTCTCTCCCTGGGGGTCCAGTGGCTGCTGAGCGGGTGGCTGGTGAGGGAGCACTTCCTTTGAGTTGTCTGCTCAGCTCCCTCGCGCGCTGCAGAGTGAGGCTGGGAGCCAGAATATGACGTCATATTCCGGCTCCCAGCCTCACTCTGCGGTGCGCGAGGGAGCTGAGCAGACAGCTCAGAGGAAGTGCTCCCTCGCCAGCGCCGCCCGCCCAGCCTGTCAGTTAGCTGCAAGGCTAACAAGACATTTGCCCTGGGCATTTGGGGGCGGCTTTTTTTGCCGCCCCCTGGAAAATGCCGCCCAAGGCAAATGCCTTGTTAGCCTCGCAGCTAAAACGTCCCTGCATCTACATAGAATTTGAGAATTGAAAGTAAACTAAATATCACCCGAGATCCCTAGAGAGGGAGGATCTCAAGTCTTGGTATTAAGAAAGTGAACTTATTGGATGGAACTTATATATTAAGTCCGGTAGGGAAAGACGGTCACAGATTAGCAGTATAAAGTAACCATTTATGAGAGACTCATCCAGGCTTTATTGTGCAAGAGAACACCCATAAGGTTACACATTCATTAACTGCTAATTAACTTAACAGATAATGTTTGGATCAAAAAGTTATCATCCTCCTTGTCCATGATTGTTACCAAAATACAAAATAGACAGCTACCAATTAGAAATTCAATGCTAAAAGAAGAATACATTTAACTATATAATTAGGTGTGCTTTAACCCCTTAAGGACACATGACATTTGTGACATGTCATGATTCCCTTTTATTCCAGAAGTTTGGTACTTAAGGGGTTAAATGGTATCAACACTCATGGACAGAGAAAAAAGCAATATTCACTAAACTATCAATTTGACTTAGAAGTGCATACATAGAAGAGTATAGTAATTAAGATGAGGCATATGATATGATAGAGCAAATTATATGAAAAAATTACTTGCATTTTTGTTTTAGATATTTTAGAGAATATCCCAGACTTCACACAAATACATACCCGCATTTACTCACCCTGACAGACAGTGCTCAAATTCACTCCTACACTCACACTAAAATATGCGTACTTGACACATCAACACGATAACACTGCCCTAACACAAAAATACACAGATAAATGACCAAACCATTGCTCTGCACATAAATACACACCTAAATTCATAGATACTTGTACTAGTCAAAAGTGGAAACATGAATTCACACACATATACAGACACATATACAAGCATGCACGTGTACTACTCATAAGTAGAATGCTAAATTCACACACAATGAACTTTACTCACAAAATAATGAAGACCGAATTGTGTAATTTAGCACAAAATAACTCAACTATTTTGAGCTTTGTGCACTTTGGCTCTTCAAATCTAGTTTTTGTATTTGTGTCTTCAACTCACAATAACTCACGGTTTGGTTCATAAATATTTGTGACAGTTAACATGCAAAAACAAAAAGAAAACACAGATAACCAACTATCTGTGTCTGAATGCTGTTCTCACACCTCAATTAGAAGATAGAATTGTTCTTTTAATAAATCTTTGAAGAAAATCTATGCAGTATTAATAATATAATATCATTAGCAAGTGCATATGTCTATTTGCATACAGGGAAGGTGTGAGCATGATAGTACATATCAGAGAGTGTAGGGATGCAGGGTGTGTTATTATTTATCGAGCACCAACATATTTCACAGAGCATACAATGGAAAGTTAGCACCACGTTGAATAAATGGTAGATCTTGTTAAGATGACTTCCAACGAGGCTGATCCCACGTCACTAAAGTTTGGCCATATGGATACATGTGTCAGTCTGCACAGGAAGAGATCTGGAGAGGAAGTGAAAGTCACTGGGAAAGCAACAGAGATATATTTATCAGAAGAAAACCTGTCTTTGCAGACAGCAAACACACCAGGACGAAGTTAAACCAACCACCTCCCCCACCACCTTGAAGGTAATAATAAAGAGACAGTTTAGTTGATTAGGTTCTATATGTAACTGGGGATTTTGGGGACAGAATGTAAGAGACATTGATCTTCTTTTTACAGAGAGACATTGAGATGAAGAGACTGCTTCGTGTGATCTTACTTCTGAAGGTTTTCTCATGTAAGAAGGAGACTCAGGAGATATTGACTAAGGTCTCTCTAAGCCCAGTGGATAGCTAGCCAACATAACACTGTGTGTTTCAGGTGGTACATTGAATGTTTCTCTAACCTTTAGATATTAAAGAGTTCACCTTATGTTCATAAATAGATCTTCCCGTAGAACGGAATAAAGAGTCATTTTAACTTAGAGCTGGAAAGTAACCGTTTTCCTTTTGTCCCCACTATCCCCAGGTCTGTCCCACGCTGTTACCGTGACTCAGAAAAAAGCCTGTATATTGCTGCATGATGGAAGCAGTATGGAAGAAATGTCCTGTACACATGATGGCACCGGCACCTACTTTATGTACTGGTACCAGCAGAAACCAGGAGAAGGTTTGGTGCTTATTGCAATGTCACAAACGGAGTATGATGCCAGCCCAGAAAATTTTTTTAAGGAAAGGTGGATAATTAGTCGTCCAAGTAATGAAAAATCGACGCTAAAACGTAATGGGACAGTGAACATCACGGACTCTGCTATGTATTACTGTGCAGCCAGTTTACACAGTCATAGGAAGTTGAGACACAGCTGGCAAAAACACGAAGCTTACAAGTTTGGAGTAGAAAATGCTAACAACAAATTCACCTGCAGGGGGCATTGGTGTCTCAGTCTTTCAGCAGGGAGCAAAATTAATCTTCGTTTTCTAGAGCTATTTAGGAAGGTATCATTTTAAATGATGCAGCTGTTCTCAGTCGCACAAAGAGTGTGTTTTCAATTCTTATAACGATTTGAGTATTAATTTGAGCATTAAGTTAATTATTTTTACATTACCACTGGCAATGGTTAGCCATAAGTGGAAAATGAGCTTAACAACCACCATGAAAAAAAAAATATATATACTGAAATATTATGTCTGAATGATTTCTTCATTTGTGTTGGTCTTGATTGTTTATTTTTATTTTCACACCATGGGAACAAATACAACCAATAAGAAAACTTTTTTCAGAAAATAAGCTATAGAAATAACCCCATTAGGTCACAAAACATGATAGAAAACAGTAATCATTGGCAATACCATGAATTGTATTATTAAACATTAACATGGAGATTATGATCACAATGTAATCATTTTGGATACATTTCAAATTAGTTTTCAGAATATTAAAATATCAAAAAATATATCATATAAAAAAAAGAAAAATCAGGGGCGGAGCCTAAGGCCTGGGCTAAATGGATGCCATCGACCAAAGCTCTGCACACAGTACCTTATCCATGAAAATTAGCAACACTCCAACGCCATCACAACATCTCCCTACTCACAACTTCAACAGCAGAGGGTGAACATCACGCCCATTCCTTTTTTGTACCCAAAAATGGGCAAAAAGCCTCTACGCAAATCCTCGATTACCCAACCTCACGGGCCGTCCTACAGGACCTGCAGTCCAAGATTGACGAGGCACACAGCTCCCTTTGGTTGCCAGACAACGTCGCTTAGCACACTGACAACATGGGATGCAGATCCCAAAAGCCACAGGCTGGTTCCAGCAAAGACTCCCAGGATATTGGGGCAATGTTTCAGTGCCCAGCAGTTTTCAAGGTGGCAGCCTGGTCGGACAACGGAACGAACAGGGCAGGCTCCCATGCAGATCTTACAGACATTGGGGATACAACCTCCCCCACCACAATACTTGAAGAAATATGAAGATAGGATCCACACTCAATCCCAGCAGACTCCCGGTACACTGGAGCAGGACCAGCATTCCCACAATGATCAGGCAAACAAAAAGAAAATCTCCAGGCACTCAAGGTGTTTAAGCCACAAGCAGATGCTGTGCTTTTTCTGTTCCATTAAACCTCCCTGCGGCTTAAACACCTTAAGTGCCTGGAGCTTTTCTTTTTGTTTGACTGCTTGAAGAAATGGCAGAATGAGACCTCCTTGCACTGGCCATTTAATAAGACATCGCCAACCTCCTGAGAGAGCTCATACAGATATCAGCTGCAGATCTTGACATAGTCCGAGCTGAGGTACAGATGATGTCAGCACGCACACAAGCCACTGGAGAGGAGGTCAAGGATCCTCAAGCAAGAGGTGCAAGGGCTGAAGGAGCAAATGTAAAACCTGCAACACTCTCACAACTCCCTGACGCAACGAGTAAATATCATGAAGACCGCAACAGACGAGCCAATATTAAAATCTGAGGCGTTCCAGACACAGTTGGTCTGGCTGAATTGCCACACTACTTGCTGCGCTTGACAGAAACAATCCTAACTCACTCTCAAGCAAAAAAGCTCTTATTCAACGGCTGCTACAGAATTAACAAGTCACGACAGGGACATTTCCAGCAATTTGGGATAAAACACCATTTGAATTTGAGGCATCCAAGCTCACATTCTACCAAGACCTTACTAGGAATACACTGTAATGGCGGAGGTCCCTTTGAGTAGTCACTGGCCAGTTGCGAGATGCCGGTGTTGACTACCACTGGACTTTACGAAGATCACTTATGGCTACTACTGCTGATGGTAGAGTGCTGTGACTCACCTGCCTATCATATGCCACTAGTTTCCTCCAAACACTGGCAATACCTCACTAACTTCGTCTAGAACCCAGAACGAATGGAGACCTTACGGCCTGGAGCAGGGCCGGACTGGCCCACCGGGATACCGGTGTCTGTGTCATGGTGTGTGTGTCTGTCTGTGTCACGGTCTGTGTGTGTCATGGTGTGTGTGTGTGTTTGCCTGTGTCATGTAATGTGTGTCTGTCTGTGTCACGGTGTGTGTGTGTCTGTGTCACGGTCTCTCTGTGTCGTGGTGTGTGTGTCTGTGTGTCACGGTCTGTCTGTGTTATGGTGTGTGTGTGTCAAGGTGTGTGTGTCTTTTTTAAGGTGTGTGTCTGTCATGGTGTGTGTGTCTGTCTGTGTCATGGTGTGTCTATCATGGTGTGTGTGTGTTTCTGTCTGTGTCACGGTCTGTCTGTGTCATGGTATGTGTGTGTGTGTATGTGTGTTTTTACTCACTTTTTTTTTTCCCACGTCATGCTGGTCTCCCCTCGTCCTGCCTCTACGGCTGAGATCATCAAGCTTGATGATCTCAGCCAATCCGCACTGACACAGGAGTGTCTGTCACTAGGAAGCAATGTAAACACTGCCTTTTCTCTTAAAAGTCAGTGTTTACATTGAAAAGCCTGCATGGACAGGCTATAGACACCAATACCACTACATTAAGCTGTGTGTGTGTGTGCGCGCGATTGCTTGTGTGTGTGTGTGTGTGTGTGTGCCTGCTACTGAGTGAGCTTGTGTTTTTATGCCAATAACCTTAGGTATGAGGCTGTGTATCAATCCGCTTGTGTCAGTGCATGTGAGTATGCTTACTGTATAATTAAAAATTTTACTCTGAAAGGACCAATATTTTATACTGGAAAAAGCTATATATATATATATATATATATATATATATATATATATATTGTCAAAGATAGCACTCCAAGGACTAATATAAAATATAACTTTTATTACCTTCACTAAAACAACACAAGGTCAACGTTTCAGCTTGATCCCCCTCAAGCTTTCGTCAGGAGATGTCCTGACGAAAGCTTGAGGGGATCAAGCTGAAACGTTGACCTTGTGTTTTAGTGGAGGTAATAAAAGTTATATTTTATATTAGTCCTTGGAGTGCTATCTCTGGCAATATTTTTTGCATTTTTTGCTGACAAGCACCAGGCATCGAATATTGAATTGGTGGAGTGCAAGATCCGTTTGGTTTTATATATATATATCAATCATCTAGGGTTGCAAGACATAGCCTTACATATTACATGTGACAATATATGGCGCAGTGACTTATGCGGCTGGCATAGATTTTTTTTTCCAGGGCTGCTTTGGAATCCCCAGTCCGGCCCTGGCCTGGAGGTGAAGAGAAGCCAGAAGCAGCAACCTAAACCGCCCTAGAAGCCAAGCATTATGTTTTATCATTTTATTATTATGTTTTCTAGCTGATACATCCATTTTGATCCAAGTTCACCTTACAGCTTAATGTCCTCCACCTTTTGAAATTCAATCTCTCTAAAAGGGAGCTTCTGTTTTTTCCTCCTCATAATACTGGTCCTCCTCTTTTGCTCTACCTGCAGGCAGGGCCAGACTGGTGATACGGAGCAGCCCTGGAAAAAAATCTATGCCAGCCCCATAAGTCATTGTTCTATGTAGTGTTTTTTTTATATATATATATGCACACACACACACACACACACACACACACATATATATTATTGGTATATTTATTTTTCTAATTCAAAATATTAGTCCTTTCAGGGTAATTAAATTATACAGTAAAGCATACTCGTATGCAGACACAGACAATCTTACTGATGCACACAAATAGGCTCATTGATAGACAATCACAATGACACACACAGACAAGGTTACTGGTATACACACAAATTTAGTACAGACAAACTCTGATACACACAAAAGCTTACTACAGACAAGCTCACTGTCACACACACATGCTCACTACAGACAAGCTCACTGATGTGCTCACTGTCCCTACAAACAAGCCCATTGACACACACATGCTCTCCACAGAAGAGCTCACTAACACACAGATTCACTATAGACAAGCTCACTGACACAAACATGCTCACTTCAGACAAGCTCACTGATACACATATGGTCACTACAGACAAGCTCACTGCACACACATGCCCCCGCCGCAATATTGTGCTTTTTTCTTTTGTTTTGTTTTATAATCCCGGCCGGCCATGTGTGAGCTGTGTCACCCGCCTGGCGCCTCCTGCTCCCATGGGGCCCTGTGCGGCCGCACAACTTGCACATGGCTGGCCAGGATTACAGGAGCCTGATTAATGATGATTTCCCGGTGGATATTTCCCGGTGGGCCAATCCGGCCCTGCCTGCAGGTTGAGGGTACCTGACCTGACCTTTGCGCCTCATGTTCAGTCTGCTGCCAAAACCTGTCGATTCCACCTTAAAAACATTGCTACTGTTAGCCCCTTTCTTACACAAAATGCTCCTAAGAAGCTTGTCCATGATCTAGTAATTTCTCCTAATTGGTCTCCCCAGAAGCCATACTGCCTTCCTACAGTCAGTAATGAATGCTGTCGCCAGGTTGATTTTTCCCAACAATTGCTCCTCTCATATCTCGCAACTTTGTCAATATTTAGATTGGCTTCCTTTCTCCTACAAGAGTCAATTCGAAATACTAACTCTTACCTATAAAGCTCCTAACAACTCTAGCCCCTATTATATTTTTTCACTAATTCATAGGTACGCCCTATCTAAGTCTCTCTGCTCTGCCGGTGATCTTCTCCTATGCGCTGCTCGCACCTTTGCTGGTAACTGGCGCTTTCAGGACTTTCACGGGTGGCTCCTTTCCTGTGGAACAGCCTGCCTACCCCCTATCCCCTAGCTTTCAATCATTTAAGAAGTCCCTCGAAACCCAACTCTTCACTCCCACCTTGTTGTTTGAATGTTAACCCCCTCGTTGCCTTTCCTATTGACTTCCTGTAGACTGTAAGCTCATCTGAGCATGGTCCTAATCAACCTATTGTTCTTGTGACAATTTATAATTGTCTCTCATTTATTGTTAAATTTCCCCTTTTTATAATATTGTAAACTGCTGCGGAATTAGTTGGTGCTATATCAATGTCAAAAATAGAAACATAGAATGTGAAGGCAGATAAGAACCATTCGGCCCATCTAGTCTGCCCAATTTTCTAAATACCTTCATTAGTCCCTGGCCTTATCTTATAGTTAGGATAGCCTTATGCCTATTCCAAGCATGCTTAAACTCCCTTACTGTGTTAACCTCTACAACTTCAGCTGGAAGGCTATTCCATGCATCCACTACCCTCTCAGTAAAGTAATACTTCCTGATATTATTTTTAAACCTTTACCCCTCTAATTAAAGAGTAATATGTACTACTTATAAGTAGAACGCTGAGATCACACACAATGAGCTTTACCCAGAAATTGGGGAAAAATTAATTGCATTTGGGTCTTCAACTCACCATAATTCACGGTTTGGTTAATAAACCTTTGTGACAGCACATACAAATAGAGGGAAAATAATAGTTAGCTGACTATCTGTCTGACAGCTGTTCTCAAGCCACCATCTGAAGACAGAATTGCTGTTTTAATAAAGGTTTGAAAAAATGTATGCAGTATAAATAATGTGATATAATTCTAGATACATAATATTCTTATTACAATGAATCTTAAACTAATGTTTACGTGAAAATGAGGGTATGTATATCTGTATATATAGGAAAGCGAGCAAATGAAGAGACAAGTTCATGCGTCCATATGTATATGGGGAGGGCGAGAGTATGCTTGTATATATCAAGGAGTGTGGGGATGCCAGAATGATTATACATATTGGAGAGTGTGGGTATGCAGGTAGGTAGGGGCAGTTATTATTTATCGAGCACCAACATATTTCACAGAGCATACAATGGGAAGTTGGCACCAGGCTGAATAAATGGTTGATCTTGTTAAGGTGACTTCCAACGAGGTCAACCCATGTCACTAAAGTCTGACCACTCCTGATGTAGATGGATACATGTTTCAGTCTGCTCAGGAGGAGATCTGGAGAGGAAGTGAAAGCTACTGGGGAAGTGATAGAGAGATACTACCAGAAGAAAACCTGTCATCACAGACAGCAAACATCAGGAGGAAGTTAAACCAACCTCCTCCCCCCACCACCTTGAAGGTATTAATAGAGAGGCAGTTTGGCTGATTATGTTCTAGATGTAACTGGGAATTTTGGGGACAGAATGTAAGAGACATTGATCTTCTTTTTACAGAGAAACATTGAGATGAAGAGACTGCTTCGTGTCATATTCCTCCTGAACATTTTCTCATGTAAGATAGAGACACACGGAATATTGTCTATGGTCTGACTGAATCCATGGAACATCTGGGAGAATTCACTGTTTAAGATCCAGTGTCCATTCAATTGATTTCTACAAACTAACTTAAGATGGAGTTTCACGGCATATTGTTTAAGATCCCTCTAAATCCTGAGCAAAGCTCGGGAAACTAACCATTTATAGTCAAGAATTTGTGCAGTGCATTTCTCCAACCTATGAAGTGTTCAGAAATAGAAATATGAATCAGATCAAGTTTGAATTGTAAATGTACAATCACACTGAGTATAACAGGTGCAAATATTTTGTATTTGAGATGACATATATCTATGTGACTTGCAGTTGCAAGAAAGTAACCATTTTCCTTCTGTCTTCACTGTCCCCAGGTCTGTCCCACGCTGTGACTGTGACTCAGAACAAAGCCTTTACATTGCTGACTGTTGGAAGCAGTATGGAAGAAATGTCCTGTACGCATGATGGCACTGGCAGCTACTATATGTACTGGTACCGGCAGAAACCAGGAAAAGGCTTGGTGCTAATTGCAATGTCGCTAACAGAGAATGATGCCAAGCCAGAAGAAGAATTTAAAGAAAATTGGACAATGACTCGTTCAAGTGATGAGAAATCTACGCTAAAAAGGAATGGGGCAGTGAACATCACGGACTCGGCTATGTATTACTGTGCAGCCAGTTTACACAGTCATAGAAAGCTGAGACACAGCTGGCACAAAACATGAAGTGTATTAATTTGGAGTAGAAAATGCTAACAACAAATTCACCTGTGGGAGGCAGTAGTGTTGTGTCTTCCAGTGGGGAGCAAAATGTATCGTACATTCTAGAACTCTTTCGGAAAGTGTCCTTTTAACAATAACAATATGTACACATATGATGTCTAAATGATTTGTGCTCTTCTCTGCTGTCTGTGATTTCTTTTTTTTATTTTTACACCATAGTAAACAATTCAACCAATAAGAAAACTCTATTCTCAGCTGTTACCTGTACAAATAACCCTGTATGATCACAATACTCAATAAAAAAAACAAGTAAGCATAGGAGATTGCATGCAATGTATTATTAAATATTAATATGGGGATTATGACCTCGATTTAACATTTTTGGATACACTTTAAAATAAAAAAAAAATATTAAAATATGAAAAATATATCATTAAAAATATATTATATATGAGAAAAATCAATTTATCAAAAATATCAACATATTATACTTATAGCAATTATTAATACTTTTTAAGTTAATCAAAAAGTATCAAATCATTTGAAAACCTTATCTAAAAATATTAAATCAAGGACTCTTTGATTTGTGGGCCAAGTGCTCTGTTTACAAATGGGGATCGTAGCACTCTTTTGACCAGCAGAAATACAGGCAAGGATGGCTCAAATTTGCCAGTTATTGATGGCAAACATTTTGATCTTAAAGGAAGACTTCAAGACCATCACATGATATATTAGGGCTACAGTGGAGGGCGCTCTGGACCTCAGGAACCAGGATATTCTGTCTACTTTCAGATCGCAGATATTTCTTTATGTAATAAGTATTTCTTAACATGTATTGATGCTATTAATGATACCAAATGGAGATGAAATTTGAAGGTTAGAGGCATCTCACATTAGGTGAAAATAACGGAGGTTCCCCTAACTTTTAGGAGGCTCTTTTTTTCCTAATTTCTTCACAAACAAGATAAAACATTGTCTCACGCTAAAACATTTTCCCATGAACTGAAGTGATCATGAAGTGATATTAGGAAATGTTAGGACAAAGTAGCGAGACGGGAAGCATAGCTGTCTGAGAGGATTTTCCAGTTCAACGACTTTGAACTTAAATTTGAAATTTACTTTGAATTCCTAACAAGTTTCACTTTATTAAAAAAAAACAAAAAAAACTGATATTGTTCAAGTGGAGAGAAGAAGCCTAGTTGCATATCCAGGTCGTTTTATTTATTTTTTTCATTTGGCTATTGTGACCTTAATTTGGAATTTCCTGTTGAATTGAATTAATGTTTTATGGAATAATCACCCTGTACAAAAACTGAATTTTAACTGGTACCAACATTACTAAGCTTATTAGCTTACACTGATCAAAGCAGAGACTCTACAACCAAATGGTCACAACAGCCAAAAAAAATACAAAAACAAACAAGCCACCTGGATATGCAACTAGGTGGACAGTGTGTCATGCTGAGCTTCTTCTCTCCACTTGAACAATATCAGTTTTTTTTAAATAAAGTGAAACTTGTTAGGAATTCAAAGTAAATTTCAAATTTAAGTCCAAAGTCGTTGAACTGGAAAAATCCTCTCAGACAGCTATGCTTCCCGTCTCGCTACTTTGTCCTAACATTTCCTAATATCATTTCATAATCACTTCACTTCATTTGACAATGTTTTAGCGTGAGACAATGTTTTATCTTGTTTGTGGGATGGACAATCTAAATATTTCTACAATGATTCTTCTATATCTATGCAGATTACCAGAAAACTGGTTTATAAACATTAGCAGAGCTAAAATAAATTGTACAGAAGATGTAGGAACCATCTATACTGTAACAAACATAAGACAAAACCCCAAAAGCTGAAAAAGAAGCAATGCGTTAAAAGCAGAAACATCAGAAACAGAGGGAGGGAACAACTCAAAGATGAAGGAGGGACAATCCCACACACCAAACCATAGCCTTTGACAATTTTTAAAAGTACACTGCAAGGGACTGTTTTGACATGAGGTATATCTGGTAGACAGCATATTTCGTGGACGTGCATTTGCTCATAAGTCTGGTCCCTGACCTATTACAAATCATCTTGGTCCAGAAATGGAAGTCCTATCAATGGCCAGAGAAAAGAAAAAGAGGACTCCAACATTCACTGTGCTTCTCATTATGAACTTCATGCCAAGTAAGGCTGAAGCCAGGAAATTAAAACTATGTGGCTATAAGTAACTTTCATTATGAATTATTTATTGTTTTATCCAATATACAGCAGATCGTTAGAGAGGGACCATAAGTGGATGGATAATCATCAATGGCTACCTTGTAAAAGAGACGATTTTCAGCTACACATGTCCGTAGTGTTATTATTTGACGGAGTTGTATTTATTTAAGTACTAATTCTTTCACATTCCCATATTCTCTAAATTCCTGCAGGTGTATGTCAGGGAGTAGTCATCACTCAGACTCCGAAGTTGCTGTTGAAGATGCCAGGAAGTTCGGCAGAGATGAAATGTCACCAGAATGATGAAAGCTATATTGACATGTTCTGGTACCAACAGAAACCAGGAGAAGGATTAAAGCTTATGATCTATTCACCAGAAGCTAATAAAATCCAAAAGATGGAAAATGTCTTTGAATCAGGCTGGGAGCTCGAGAGGAATGACATTCAGAATTCACTTCTACGTCTTAAATCAGCTGAAATACAGGACTCTGCTGTATATTTCTGTGCATCGAGATACCACAGAATTAAAACCCAGGGAAACAGCTGGCATAAAAGTTACCATGTAGAGAGAACATGAAGAATGCAATTATTCTGTGGCTCTACAAGGGGCGTTCTGCTTTACAATAAACATTATATATGCTTATTTTTCGTATGAAGTCATCCAGAGTTCTGATCTGTTAATACATTATGGAGTGTACCAACAATCCATTATACACTCTTCCTATTTTCTCAACCAATTATTATTATTATTATTTATTTTTTATTTTTTATTTTTGTTGTGCGCAAAATTAACAAACAGCCTCAGTACGCCACAACAGCGGTATCAAGGTATATAGAAATTCAACATGCAATACAGTTGAGCCTGTGTGGGTGACGCGGTATGGCTAGGCCTCTGGGGGCTCTCGGCCCAGACAGGCGAACATGTGGGTTTCGTGCGTGCTTGCATAGATGCGTTGCCCAGATGGGGTCTACTGTCCTGCGGCAGCGAGCTTCTGTCAGGATTACAGAATGATCCAGTACGTAGAATTGTATAACACAGAGGACTGATAGGTAACGTATACTGGACCTTAGAATGGTCGGACTAACGTACCAAAGAATAGTTGAATAGCCGAGGTCAAGGGAAACAGAAAGAGACACAACGGTAAGGAAAAGCCAGGAGTCAGGGATGCCAGAAAACAGGGAGGTCAAAAACAATGCCAAAGTCAAATAACCAGAATTACCAGAATCAATAATGCGCTCTCGGATAACCACAAAGGAAAACACGACAGGGCACTGAGCAGGATGAGAACTGGGCCTAAATACCCCTCCTCTAGATCTGATAGGCTGTAACCGGCCTTTGACCCCAAAGCAGTTACCAGGTTCCTATTTGCATAATTGCTGCTCAGCATTAACCCTTCTGTGGATTTGGTTGCTGCTCGGCACAACTTTTCCTGTGTGGACAGTAAATTCATTAACCACATTTTTATAAGCGGATGAATACGTGACAGCTTCTCTGCTTGAAAATCCCCAGCTCCGTCCTGCGGCCCTGGAGTTCCAGCCTGAAACTCTGGAATAGCTCCTCGAGCCGCAATAAGGTCGGTTCTATAGAGCTGCGATGAGGCTGCCCAATTAGGCCCTTGCCCATTGTGTCAGGCGAGATGTCAGGCGCCATTTTGCTCAGTGTAAGCTGAGAGACTTTTCTGAGTGGAGAGTTGCAGTATTTGCTTCAGACAGATCAGTGGGGACCGGGATAACCTCCACCAGTCCCAGGGGAGGGAGTAGGAGCAGAGCAGGTCCATTTGACCTGCTGGTCAGTGGGGAAGTAGGCCTCCCTTCTCCCGCCTAGCTGTCCGCAGGCCTCAGTGTGCTGCTGTGGCCCCCTGGCACAGAAAACTCCTGAGAGAGGTATTTGACGGTTTGTCACAGCCTTCCCAGTGTATCTAGCTTGGGGTTGCAGCTGTCGCTTATGTATGCTGAGCGGGAGCTCTTGCAGCACAGGTCCGATCAGCTCGGGCTCCGCCCCCACTTATTTTTTTAATATGTGCTGATTTATCGCAACAATAGCAATTTTATCTTGAAAAAAATTGACATTCCTGTAAACGAGGAAGTGATTTAAAAAAAAATATATTTATTGTATAAAAACACTATAATA